AAAATCCCTTCTCTTCCCCAAAACAATATTCTCCCTCTATGTTAAAGGTGTGGTATAGAATCGGTCATATTGTTTGAATTAGCGAACTTTCTATTTTTCAAATCAACTACTATTTATTATTTTCATAAATTATTAAAAAAAAATTCTCGCCATCTAACAACTGTGCAAGCTACACCCAAAAATATACTGTCACTTTGCAAGACGCAAGTCATAAGTAAGCAAGTTCGCTTTCTTGCACGCTTCCTTGCAGTCGCGAGTTAGTATAAGTTTGCCAAAAGCGAAGAAATCCGGAAGAAGAAGACGAAGAAACTGTTTACAGCGCAGTAAAGTTATGCTCTGATTATAGTCTTATATGTATTTGCATTTGATTTGGTGGCAAAGTTCTGCCTTCTCTCCTGCACCGGAGGCTGAACAATTACATTGGAAGTTCGGAATACACGATGGTAAGCGTCTATGGTGTGCTGGCGTTACCACTAATTTAGTGAGACATGCGAATATTTAAATTAAAATGAAAAGAAACAAAAAATCAAGACGAAGACGAAGCTAAGGCAACAAAGAACAAAAAAAAGGAAATGAACAAATCCTTCGAGTGAAATGAGTGAGAAAAGACAAAAACCAAGAAGTGAAACTAGATATACGTTTCGTTTGAATGAATGGTATTGAAAACGGCAGTAATAAACTACGGAAGAAACTAACATATAGTCTAAAAAAATTGGAAATTACTTACACAAGTCGACAAAACTGGGAGAACGATTTTCAAAAGTGTCCTCCTTTTCTCTTTCGTTTGAAAAGATGTTGTTATAATTTTTTAATATTTAACTTTTGGCAAACGAAAACCAAAATCTTAGACATAATTTGGGTAAACCATTTTCCTGGGGAAGAAATTCTGATATCATGGGATGTTTGGATCATACGGATTACGAAATGTTGTTAAGCCCTTCAAAATTCCAAAAGTGTATTACTGTCATATTGTAACTAGGTCGAAATGTGGTTTTATATTGCAAAACTTATTAGGGGAGGTTTTCTCTCCATTGACAATTCAAGATGTCATAGTTGAACCAGTAAAGAAAGGAACCAGTAAAGAAAGGTCAAAAGTCTGACCGAATACCCTACACCACTATGCTTATTAAATAGAGGTAACCGTAACAGCAAAAATGTTAATGATCGTTTTTGAATGCATATTTTGGGTTTAGAGAAGTTATAATTTGAAACCGGAAGGAACTCATATATATGGGAGGTATATCCTACTTAAAACCGCATTTGTGTCTAAATCGATTTTCACAAACATCCCTCCTATTTGAGCTTGAACATCTCTCCAAATTTGATATCAATAAAATTTTAGCAGAGGTATTTTCATGTTGTATCCGATAACTGGCACCAAATATTGTTTTTGTGGGTTGCATTTATGGCTATTAGGAACTTAAATACAAATTCGGGTGAAACATATATACGGGACCTATAGCTATATGTTAACCGATTTTCACCAAATTTTGGCACACTTTCTTCCAAACTTAATTCGGTCGTATGTAATTTGGGCTTATATTAACCATTTGATGCACAATAAACGTTAAGTCGTATAAATATATATACAGGGTGTGATGAAAAAATGCAACCAACTTCAAACAGCTGTCATTTCTAAGCCACTCGTCCGACAGCTATTAAAATTATTCCAGTGACAGCTCATTATATTGTTTACAAGCGGTCAAAATCACTTCGGTGCGAATTTTCCAGCAAAAAAGTCATTCGTGATGGAATTCAAGCGTGATAGTGTGATTTCTTTATATTTGGCTGGAAAAGGCACAAGTGGCTATCATTAGAGCACTCCAGAATTTAAATCTTTTGTGTCTCGTACCATCGCTCGTTACCGTGATACCGTAGTCAAGGAAGTGGACGGAAGAAAACAGCAACACCAGCAAAAATGCTTCGAAATGTAAAGAGCGACTTGATCGAAACCCGCGTGGCAGTGGCTGTAAAATGGCTCGTGAGCTGAACATATCGCAATATTCCATTTGGCAAATACTAAAAAATGAGCTCGGAGTAAAGCCATTGAAATTCCAAAAAGTGCAAGAATTTACACCGCAACGGAAAGAAAATAGACTCAAAAGACATAACGAGTTGCTTCGCTTGGCCGAAAGTGGTGAACTGCCGAATTTGGTTTTCTCCGATGAGAAAACATTCGTTGTCCAGCAGTTTGTACACAAACAAAATGATCGTGTTTACTTGCAAAAGAGGTAAGCTGAAAATGTGCACCTTCTATTGGCCACCAGAACTCAAGCGCCATGGTGATGGTGTGGCATCAGAATAAATGCCGAATATTATCGCGAAAATATTCTGAAGGGTTTACTAAAGCCTTGGGCACGCAAACATTTTGGCCGCAGACCTTGGACATTCCAAGAGGGCTCTTCACGCGTCACCCAAGAATGGTTACAAAATGAGTTTCCTCGCTTCATTTCCAGGCCGCAATGGCCACCAAAATCTCCGGATATCAATCCGTTGGACTATTGTGTCTGGATTATTTTGGAAAGCAGAGGCACAAAAAAAATGTAAAAACTATGGCGTTTTGCAATTTTTTTTCTCACCCTGTATTATGCGCCTTTTTACTTATATATTCAAGAACAATTGTTATTAAACTATGATGGATGTTGTGTTTTGCGAAATAATCCCGGAGCAAAGAAATGGAGCGGAATGGGAGACGAATTTTTATAGTTGTTTGTTGAGAGTTTAAAAATGTCCAGTAACATTTTACACGCTTGATATGCTGTAGTTTCGATCACCTATTTTATAGTTAGCTGGTTGGATTGACTCTTCTGGAAATTGCTATACGAAGTCTTTACTTTTATACCCTCAACCTTCAAAGGAGGGTTTCTTATCTTTGCACTCCGGTTGTAACATTCCCAAATATTCGTCCTAGACCCCATATGGTATATATATTCACGATAAGCACAAAACTCTAAGTCGATCTAACGATGAAATCAGCCCACATTATTTGACGTAGAGCTTCAAAATTTGGCACAATAGTTTGTATTGTGCCTAGGATGGTTGGTATGAGATATATAGGTCTACGTTTTCGTATAGCTTCCATTCTTAGCTTCTTTGGGGATTTGTCCAAGAATTTCATTATTTGCAGTTCATAGTGGGTTCTCGATCCGGTGACAGAACATTGAATATCTAGGTCCATGTTTTCCTATAGAGCACATATAACGGAACCCACCAATATTCAATATTTTGATAATCCTAGTCATATTTACCAACGAACCGTGGACCTTCGATTTGAACGACCGACCTCGGCGTGCAGCCAACTAGAAGTTGCCGTCTCAACTTTAGAGCCATTAATCCGTCTTCCTAAAGCAGCACTATAACAAGTGTATGCAATGGAAGCAATCTAGTTGTTGTGGATAAGAAATCCATCGCTACAAAAAGTCGAACTTGGAGGGTTTCTGGTGTTTAATTCGCATATGCTTAATCGCAATAAGTTCGAAATAAATACTACTCTCCAGAGAACGACCCTTGTAAGCCAGCATCCACACCAAATATGCCAGCCGAAACCCATTATGCCATTATACGGAAATGGTGAGTTTGTGATAGTGTCTGCCTGGCTTTCCTTTTCACTGCAAATTTCAGATCATTAAGCTCGTCTCGAAAGATAAATAAACGCATAAATCATAAACATATGATCTTCGCCTTAACAAGGCAAAATTCAGTTTTTTTTTCAAATTTGGCGTTTAAGATTCGCAATAGATAACAATTTTTGTCGTATAAAATTTTCTATATTGGTTCCCGTTTTAGTTTGGCCCCCATATAACGGCTTCGCACACATTTTGTTTTTTTTTTTCAAAAGTTTAATACGACCGGTTTTACTTGTATTTGCAGTTTAAAGTGGAATACTTTGAATCCAGACACTTCTATGTAAAAACATTTTCGTTGGGAAAGAGAAAAATCGTTCATACTCTTCCGAGAAGCAACTTAATGAGTAAATATTTCTAGAAAAGCCAAAAGACCTACCTATTGATTTACAAGAACACATCTTAGACACAAAGCTTATTAATATAAATTTTTGTTGGCTAGTGTTATTGAGACATGATTTAACTACTGACTGTTTGTGTATTTTGTGGTGTGGTTTCTTGTGTGCGTAATATACAGATACAAAAACAATGTACGTGCTTGTTCTTCATCTTCTTCTTCGGCGTCTAGTTGTTCCATGCAAAACTATGGCTGCCAACCAACCCAGTCCTTTTGTTTTAATAAATGTGAGTGCTTTAAGTGGAAATGAAACCATAATAACCAGGAAAGGCCCTGTGGTGTAGGTGCAGATGTGAACTGGGGCTGGTGTGCTGTTGTGCGGTGTTCTGTTGTGTCTGTCGGTGCAGTAGTTACAAGATTGGTGCAGGTGCAAGAAACAAACGTGCTGGAAAAGTTTTTACTTTGGTTTGTGCGTCTGTGTCGGTGCGTGGCAAATTTACTTCAGAAGATAGGACAGGAAAAAAGGGATTGCCGGAAGCCTGTGCTACAATGGAAGCGTGCGGTGCAATGTGCTGTGGTGCCGTGTTGCAGAGGTGCTGTTGTGCAGTGGTGTGTGTGTGTGTGAGGGGATGCAGGACGAGTGCATGATGACAATAAGCAGAATACGGTGCTGGCTTTGGCTCGCAAGGGGCAAGTGCGTGAGTGCATCAAGAAATTTACCTGAAAGTGTGGCGGCTTTGCCATTAAGTGCCGCCAACTTGGATGCACGTTCCAGGCTCGACACTAATGGAGATATAGACTCGGAATTTCTTAGCGAGGAGTTGATTTTGTAGCTGCTGTTGTTATTGTAATTGTTATTATTGACGCTGTTGCTGTTGGCTTTGTTATTACAGTTTGTTGGAAGTAAACCTTTGGCATTGCCGTTGTTGCAACCGACGCCGCTGCTGTTGATGATGATGCCATTATTACTGGCACACGGAACGTGACCACTGTTTGTCGAAGATGAGTTGGTGATATTGTTGTTGTTCCTGTTGCTGATAGCATTATTGGTGGGTTGCTGTTGTTGCTGCTGCTGTTGTTGTTGTAGCTGGTTCTTGGCCGATTGTTGTTTATTGAGTGTTGCCGCTGCCGACAACGTTGACGTTTTTGTATTCAAATCGAATAGTCCTGCATTTGATGTTCAAATTGCCGGAGATCCGCAAATTGCAATAGAAAAAGAGAACAGAAAGCCAAAAGGTTAAAACAAAAAACTCAAAACGAACATTTGCATTATTCCTTTGATCATCGATGAAAATGAAACGACCACGGTTATAGAGTAAGTGGTTTTATTTTTCGCAATCCTCTCTAAGAGTCTTATGGAAATTACAATCATTATACTTTTTGTCCGGCGAACAAAATGGGTGCATGGGGTTTCTTAATCGCTAAAAGCGTATTGTTAAATCGTTATGATTAATAATTTAGTTAAAAATGTTATGAGAATTCTCTTTTCTCTTTTATTTACATAATTAAGGCTATAATCTTTTTGGGTATATTTTGTTTGCCCTTTTGTAAAATAACTAGGCAAAAGGGTCTTAATAAGCTGATCTTTCGTAAATTATAAATTTGTAAAAAAACCTCATAGTCGCCACTACTTCTTCATAAATGGCTGTGCATATAAGTTTCTGTTGTAACATTTTTTCGACCGACGAGAGTTATACAGGGTGAGATGAAACAACTGCAACCAACTTCAGACTGCTGTCATTTCTTAGCCACTCGTCCGACAGCTGTTAATATTATTCCAGTGACAGCTCATTATATTGTTTACAAATGTACAAACGCACTTTGGTGAGAATTTTCTAGAAAAACAGTTATTTGTGATGGAATTCAAGCGTGATGGTGTGATCTCTCTATATTTGGCTGGAACACCACAAGTGGCAATCGTTAGAGCACTCCAGCATTTAAATGTGAATAAATCTTTTAAAAAATAAATCGTAACATCGCTCGTTACCGTGATAATAGTAGCGAAGCCCGACGTCAAGGAAATGGAGGGAAGAAAACAGAAACATCAGCAGAAATGGTTCGAAAAATAAAGAAGCAACTTGCTCGAAACCCGAGTCACAGTGGCCGAAAAATGTCTCGTGAGCTGAAAATATTGCAATATTCCATTCGGCAAATATTGAAAAATGATCTCGGGGTAAAGCCATTGAAATTCCAAAATGTGCCAGAACTTACATCGCAACAGAAAGAAAATAGACTCAAAAGAGCTAAAGAGTTGCACCTTCGGTTGGCCACCATCACAAGAACTCAAGCGCCGGCCATGGTGATGGTCGCCATAACAGCCGATGGTCGCTCTCCGCTCGTATTAATCGACCGTGACATCATGCGAAATATTATCGCGAAAAATATTCTGGAGGATGTATTAAAGCTTTGAGCATGCAAACATTTTGGCCGCAGACCTTGGTCATTCCAACAGAACTTAGCACCATCGCACTCAGCACGCGCCATCCAAGAATGGTTACAAAATGAGGTTCCTCGCTTCATTTCTAGCGCACAATGGCTACCAAAATCACCGGATGCCAATCCGTTGAATGTTGTCTGGAGTATTTTGGAAAGCAAAGTTGGTACTAAAAATACCAAAGTGTCGATCACCTCAAGCAAGCGCTTCGCCGGGAATAGGCCAAAATACTGCAGAGCAACATTCGGGCAGCGTGTGACGGTTTCAGTGGCCGTTTGAAGGTCATAATTCGTGCCAAAGGTGACCAATTCGAACAAATCTAAATTTATTCTAAAATTTGATGCTATTTCCGATATGTTTTGCTTTCATTTAATGAAATTTAAAAAATGTAAAAATTATGGCCTTTGACTTTATTGCAGTTTTTTTTATCTCACCCTGTATGCATTGTGGTGTAGGGTATCATATAGTTGGTTCCGTCTGACTTTTGAACTTTCTTTATTGGTTTTACTTGTGATTTTTAAGTGTTTCGAAATTTATTCTCTTGGGAAATCTTTAATATTCAGGTCACCGACATACCCCATTTTACTATTATTTTACAGAGACTAGCTGGCTTGGGATGACCTATTGTAATTTTTATTTCAAAAAATCCTAATTTATATAGACCTATGCAAAATTAATTAAGCGAGGTAATAATACTATATCTTTGATATTTTAGCACTTTTGTCCTCACGTTCTCATAACATCAGTATTTGTTCAAAAATCATCTTACAAAACCTATGGATAACGTCATAACATAAACATCTCTTTAATTTTTCCATCGGTTACTCTACGGGCCAGATCTTATTGTCAATTTAAAATCCTCTCCATAGAAAGTTGTATATAATTTTTGCAAACAACATACAATAACATCACACTTTATCCATTCGAACCGAGCCCGAAATCGCCCTTTGCCTTAAAATTAATTGGAACTTGAAACGAAATTTTATTTCGATATTTATTTTGTTGTTAACAAATAATCCAATTATGGAAATTTTGCAAAGGGCTAAAAATAAAATGATTCTATTGAAGGCTTCATTAGGCATTTCGAAGTACTCAAAATATTGTGGGTATTTGTAAGCGAGGGTGTGAGTGAGTCGACGGAAGTATAGCGCCTTAATTGCAAATTGAATGTAATCTAAACGGAACTTTCACAACAACTACAACTTTCAACACTCAATGAAGGGGAAATTAAAATTGTATCCTTTTCATCCTTCCAATTAGCCCTGAATAGTTATGAATTGAAAAGCAAATTACGTGAATTCGCATATTGCAGGAGATTCGAGTAGTAGTTGCTGCGATGCTGCCTTTTTAATAGGCAGTCGAACCGATGAATTTTAAATTTCGCAGAAAAACTTCTTCGCCAATGTTTGGCGTTAATGGTCCACAAGGTCTCTATGGCACAGGCTATGGCATTAAATACACCAGGCTTTAGTTTTATTCAGTTGACTAAACTCTTGGCTCAATGCCTTTTAGCCTTTTCCAAGAACTTGTTGTTGTTGTGGTTTCTCTATACTCGGCGTGCTCATTTATGCCAACACAAGGGGGGGCAAGACTAAATAAATAGTTTCTTCGCATTGCTGTTTGTAATTGTGTAAAACTGTTGTTAAGGCTTCCTTGTAATATTTGATCCCCCCTCCCCATCTATCCATCCAGGCTCGTTATCCATATTTTTGGAACCACTTTACATATTGTCGGGATACAATAGTTGATGTTGTATCAAGAACACATTCCGTTAAACATGGCTATTGTCGTCCTTGGATGTGTATGGTGGCCACCACTTGTAATTGGTGGAATACGTCCAATTGTGTTTAACCAGCAATTTCGGTTTGCTGCTGCTGCCCTTGCTGTCGATGTTGCCACTGCTGTGCCAGGGATTGCGGAGGGCTGAGTTGGTGCCATTGGCCATATTCATTATTCATTAACATTCGGTTTTAGTGTTTCCAAATGACTTCATTGCATTGACTTTCATTACACACTGTTTGCTCTTTTCGTGCTGCCAGTAACGAGCTCTTGGCCAGCTTTATGTTCTGTATCGTATTATCGTGGCATTTGTTGTTCCGTCGTCGTCTGTTGTCGCCAATTTCTTTATGGCAATTTAAATTTGTGTAAATATTCATGTAAATATTTGTTAAGACAGAATGAGATTGCACTCCATTGGCAATGAATAGAGTTTCGTTCTTCGAGACGTCTTTTGGCAAATGTATTTGTCTTTACTTTAATAATAATTTTCTGAGGAAACTAAATTTCCAGAATTTTCATTTTAATTTTTTAAGAGCAAAATAGATGTTTGAATTTAAGGGAATATAATTTAATGCAGCTTTGGGTTCGTTAATAAATTCGAAATTTTTCAATAACATAACTATCATTTTTATAAAATTTGTTGATAGTATAAATGCGTTATATGGTCTTGGAATTCAAGCAACAAGAAAAATAAAGCCCGAATTTTGTGAAGGTAGTATACCTTTTGATAATGTGAATAATAATTTTCCAAATATTGTAAACATATGACTGCATGAGGTTACTCTCTGAATTTTATAATGGCGGAACTCTCAAAATTAATAAATTGTAAGGAGGACATGCTAAGTTTGCTATTTCCTGTATAACTGTATATAATATAGACCCTATAAAGATCAACACGAATAATTTCAGCATACGTTCTGTGTATTTATATAATGGACAATTTCAAAGGATCTAGCCATATTTATCACTACCAATCATATCGCTCACTTAATCGAAGATAGCATTTTATATTTTTATACCCTCCACCATACATACTCATCGGAACAATAATATTAGACCCAACAAAGTATATATATTTTTGATCAGCGTAAAATTCTAAGACGATTTGGTCCTGTCCGTCTGTTGTAATCACGCTACAGTCAAACCGAATTAAGATAGGAAGCAAACAGTTTTGAACAGATCTTTCTTTTGTCTGCAGGCAGGTCAAGTTCGAAGATGGGCTATATTGGTCCACAATATCTTATAGCCCCCTATAACGGTACCCCCCGATATTCGGTATTTTGATGATTTTTCAATGGAATTGTCTGGAATGGCACACAAGGAGTTCCATGTGAGTACTTTGTCCCCTGAAATAGAATCTATATCTATAAAAGAGGAAAATGTTTGTTTGTTTGTAATTTATGGACTCGAAAACCGCTGAATAGATTTTCCTGAAAATTTCCATAAATACTGCAACATCGCCTGAAAGTAACTTAGGCTATATACATTTTTGAATTTCCACTTGGAACTGGAGAAATAACATCAGAATCGGAGGTACCTCCCAAAAATTTAGATTTTATATGCACATATCTATTGATTGGTTGAAGATACAGTCTCCAAATTTGGAATACGTAACGGAATTCGGAACAAAAATAAGTTTGCCAAATTATATTGTAAACGGTTCAGATTTGGATATAGCTCCCGTGTATATTTTCGACCGATTTCATTCATTTGATGCCTCAAACACAATATGAATGTTCGATTCCAATGAAATTTGGAATGTGTGACGTCCACAAGGTCTCACAAGGAAAATAAATTTGTCAAATTATATTGAAATCGGTCCAGATTTGGATATAGCTCCCATATACATTTTCGGTTCCCATATATATTTTCGACCGATTTCATGTATTTGCTGCACCAAACACGATATGTATGTCCAATTTTAATGAAATTTAAAATAGGTAACGAAATTGGGAGCAAAAATGAATTTGTTAAATTATATTGAAATCGGTTCAGATTTGGATATAGCTCCCATATATATTTTCGACCGATTTCATGTATTTGATGCACCAAACACGCTATGTATCTCTACCTTCAATGAAATTTGGAATGTGTAGCGGAAATTAAAACAAATATACATTTGTCAAATTATATTAAAATCGGTTCAGATTTGGATATAGCTCTCATATATATTTTCGACCGATTTCATGAATTTTATGCACCATACACGATATGTATGTGCGATTCCAAAGAAATTTGGTACATATTTTGATTAGAAAATAAATTAGTCAAATTATATTAAAATCGGTTCAGATTTGGATATGGCTCCCATATATATCTTCCGCCGATTTCACATATTTGATGCACAAAACACGATACGTATTTCCGATTCCAATGAAATCGGTATGAGTGGCTAAATTTGGTACAAAAATAAATTATATTCAAATACGCTCAGATTTGATTATAGCTCCTATATATGTACTCAGCCGATTTAACATATTTGATGCACCCAAAGCGAGAGAGACAAAATCTGGCACCAGAAATTATTGAAATCAGTTGAGGTTTGGGTATAGCTAACATATATATTTCGGCCGATTTCATATATGTTATGCACCAAACATGATATATATGACCGATACCAATAAAGTTCGGAATGTGTGGCGGAATTTAAGATTTGGATATAGCTCCCATATATATATTCTCGGCCGATTTCACATATTTGACGCACCAATTTCAATGAAATATGAAAGGTGTGGCGGAATTTGGTGTAAAAGTAATTTTTTTAAAATTATATTTAAATCGGATCAGATTGGGATATGATTTTAATAAGAACCATTGACCCACAACGCCTTAGGCTAACACTAAAAAACAACACAACAATTGATTTGATATACGCTTATTACGGCGAAGTATGGTGCTATCTCGAATTCACTAATTGCAATAGAAATGCCACTCAACTTCAAAAGATTGAGGTTTACTGCACGCTTGGTATTTGCTATGAAATAAATAAATCCGAAGGACAAACCCTTCGTGTATGTATGTGTGTATGTTACTGCTTTTCTAATGGTTTTGGTTATTTACGCATTAAAGTAGTGCAATAATTTTTTTTTTTTAATTTTTAAATTTTTTTTTTTTTTTTTTAACCAACATATATTACTAAATAAAATCTTGAATGCATATAAAATCAAAAGGGGTAGCGAAGCGCACCGGGTTCAGCTAGTTGTCTATATAAGTCCACAATATCATATACCCCCCATATATCGGCACCTTCCGATATTCGGTGGAGGGTATTCGAAGTTCGGGCCGACCGAACTTTTACTTGTTTTAACTGAGCAGCTCCCACCAGACAGTAATCTAAATCTTTTTAGCCAACAATAACCCATATACCTCCTATATAAAGCCACTCTTATTAATATCTTTTTTAGGAGTATTTCTGTATCGGTAGAGGCATTACGTACAGACGTCATGAAATAAAGCCAATTTTTCATAATTATACCCCACACTGTGCGGTACAGTGCATTATGTTTTTCAAAAATATTTTTTGTCTGATTTTAATAAAGAATGAAAATATGATAGAATTGAGATTCAGGTATAGTTATAGTTTCCATAAATGTGTAATCCGCTTAATAAAAATGATATGCCGTAAAATATATAAGATCCATCTTGAAATAACTTCGACAAATTTTGTCAAGATAGATTCAGATTAAGGTATAGCTCACCCATATATTTCAATCTACTTTGATATAAAAAAATACCCTTCCATATAAAAACCCGAGTTTATGACACCTTACACCACTATGCATATTTAGTAGAGATACCCGTAGCTACTAGACGTTTATATTGGAAATTTATGTGAAGTAGATCATACCAACTATTAATCTTTTTTGAATGTGTATTATGGCTTTAGAGTTGTTATAATTTGACATCAGTTGGAATTAATATATAGGAGGTATATCCAACTCCAGATAAATTTCCACCAAATAAATAGATTTTTGTCAATCTAATTCAAAGTTCAGTATACCAGTTCCTAAACGCATGAGTGATTTCATATATTTCATATCACTCATATGCTGAGTTATCGTCCACAGAACTAAATAAGAAACTAGTTGTTTTGATCGAACGAAATTTGAACAATTCTGCAAATTATATTGCTATATTATTTCGAGAAGGATTGAAAACAAAAGCAATTGCTACAGGCTGTCGCACAGTAACATTGAAATCGGACGATGATATATGTGGACCGATTCTCACCAATTTCAATAGAGTTCATCCATGGGCCAAATAAATGATTTCGAGAAGATTTCATTTCAATCTGACAACATTTTTATACCCTCCACATAGGCGATTTGAAGTCAAAACAAAGTGTGATGGGAAGTTACAATTTTTGCACAGAACAGACTTTTGTCTGCAGGCGGGTCAAGTTCGACGATGGGCTATATCGGTCCACGTTATCACATAGCTTCCATATAACGGTACCTTGCGGTATTCGGTACCTTGCGGTACTCGGCCACATCTATCAATGGATTTGACTGGGTTCCGATGTGTGAAGTTCCTAACGCGTACTTATAACACTGACAAAAGTTAGGCCTTATATTACATATTGCCAACATATAAAGGTTCCCTAGATATTCGGTATTTCCATGATTTCGAGTATTTTTTTTAGGAAATTGTCTGAAATTCTGTATATAAAGGCCCACATATCAGTTCATCCCTATTTAGTGGTATTCCCCCTCGATATTTTTATAAATTTAGTCAGATTTCTCAATGATTGTGGCTCGGTATTTCCACAAAAATTCATATATTGTCCATAAGCATGGCAATACCTTCATAAAAATCGTTACATTACATTAAAATCCATGTAGCGATGCATAACCCCACCGAAGTGATCATCTTGAACGTCTATTGGTAATGTAAACTTGTTAATTTGAGCAAGTGATAAATCACAAACGCAGTACATGTTTCAATTCCGAATTGCATAACTTAACTAATCAACATTTGCGCCTTAGTGTAATTCCTCCGCTTCAGCTTGCATACGATCCAATAGGCAATAGTTGGTTATTGTTGCTGAACAACAATTGCTCATCCATTTACTTTCAAATTAGTCGGCGTTTAAAGGCACTCGACGCAACCAAAGTTAAATGCAATTTCACTGCAATCGAACAAATGTAATCTGAATACGGGGTTTCTAGGGTCAATCGGTTACCGGAATATCTCTGTTCGGAACTTTTCTGAAGTTACCAATGCACTCACGCTCGCAGGCTAGTTGTTCTCCTCTCTATACATATATGTATGCTTATTGTTGTTGTGTTAACTATGGTGTGGGGAAACTGAAAGTGGTACAATTTGCCAACAGCATCGCATTGGGGAAGATGATGATGATGATGATGTGGGGAGGAGGAAACGAAGAAGTTACAAACTTTAACAACAATAATAAAGCCAACCTTTTGTGTTTGTCTCCACATGGCTTTGTGTGGGTGTGTGTGTAGGTGAGTACATGGGCGTGTGTGTGTGCATTTGAGTTAGTGTATTTGTCTATAGTATATTTGCATTTGGTACTTACACTCTGGACCGCCCGATAATGTGTGTAGGCCGGACGATGGTATCACTTGATAGCTGTCCCCTTCAACACCGATGGCACTTGTCATGTGATAACCATAACCGTTCTGGGTCCCATACAGCGACGAGTTCGTCGACGACTTTTGTCCAGTGGTGGAACACTGCTGCTGTTGTTGCTGATGATGTTGTTGCTGTTGCTGCTGATGGTGCATCTGGTCCTCGGGATCGTGGACGGCAGTTAGTGTCAATTCCATGGCGTGTGCATCAAGTGTTTTACTATCTAAGCTGCCTGTGGGATAGTATGGTGGTGGTGGCGGCTGCTGCTGTTGGCCACTGGTTTGGGCCACAATCGATGGCCGTCCCGAATCTAGGTCATATTCTTTGGCAGCTGTATTTGCTGACTTCTTTGTAGCTGTGGCTGCAGAGCGCCTGCAGCGACACAGCATTATCGTGAATGCAGCAAAAAGTAAAAAGGCTACGGACGCTATAACTATGCCCACAATAGCAGATGTTGTGAAAGCTGACGTCTCGGGCAGATATGACTTTCCAACTGCAAAATGAGAAACAATAGAATGTGTGATTACATACAAACATACATACATCCATACTGGGAAAAGCAAACAGAAAACAAGAAACGAGGAAAATTTTACAATCGAAATGTAACGCTCCACTAGTCTAACAAACTGAAAACGGAATGATGACATGACATCGTACTCCCTAACTGGTCAGCATAAAAGTTCAGAGAAAGCTGGACATTTGTTTGGCGCAATGCAAAACAAAAACCGATTTAGTTCTGTTACAGAGTTTGTGAAAGACGTGGTGGGCGGGGATCGGATGCACTTGTTCCGATCGTTAGTTTGTGAAGTCTAATTAAACCAATTTCTTTTGTACCACAATCCAGTCCAATCCAATGCTCTGTAGAATAAGTGGCAAAATCAAAAACGGATGACATAGTTCAACGTCAAATTTCACTGGCTGTGTCAACTTAATAACTCTTCACTATTGTCCGTTTGTCAATTCAAAGACTTTTAATGGGGTGACAGGAATACAGTGCAGGTTAAAAGTTAAATGGTCGTAGCAAAATTAGTTAAGGGACGTGTATATGTTTAAATTATAGGGAGAGAAATGTTCTACGTAAAAATATATCATATTTTCGAATATCGCTCATTGAATTAAACACATCCCCAAAAATTCAGTTTCGACACAAACCCAAAATGAAACGGTTATTAAACCGTCCCTAATCAAAAATGGTTGGAAGTATTTAAGTGCTTCATAAAATCAAGTCCAAGTCAAAATGTTGTACGTCCTTAAGTTTTTCAGATATCAACATCAAAATTTAATAGATTATTTAAATGCTATGAGTAGAAAAAATATAAGTTACTAACTGTTTCGCTTAATTAACGATTTTGTTGTTGCAATATAGTAAGGCTACATCCCATAATTGTTGTTTTCATTAAGAAAAAAACCAAGGAAACTGATGATTATTGGCTTCTTTTTCCATAACTATGGTATTCCCCGCCTAACACCCTGGTAGACATTACTATCTTTCTCCACTAACTCCACTATGGTATTAAGCCTAACTATTTTGCAACAACAAATTTGTCCATTCGTCTGTCCGCCCATGTGTTCTTGTGAACAAAATGCAGGTCACATTTATTATCCGATTGAGCTGAAATTTTGTGTGGCCCAAGGACGAACCATATTGAAATTGGTGATAATCGGATCAGATTTAGATGTAGCTCGCATATATCTTCGACCGATTAATTAATTGTGCACAAAATGGACAATATAAGTCTAAATAATCTGAATTTTGGGACATCCGAGCGAATTCAGTCTAGAAGCTAATACATTAAATTTAGAGAAAATCGGTTCAGATATACCTATAGCTACCATTTATATATTTTTCATTCGATTTAAGTCCCTCACATGCGTAATATGCACTCCACAAGAATGATATTTGGTACCAGATATCTTATAGAGCTCAGAAATACCTCTGCAAATTTTATCAAGATCGATTCAGATTTGGATATAGCTTCCACATATATCTTCAGCCGATTTCGGATTAATTATGCACCAAATGGCCAATATTAGTCCAAATGACATGAATTTTGGCACATATGACCGAATTCAGTCTAGAAGCAAGTACATCAAATTTGGTGAAAATCGGTTCAGGCTTAATTGATACATCCTTAATATAGAAGCAAGTATATCACATTTGGAGAAATCGGTTCAGATATAGCTAAAGCTCTCATATATATGTATTTGGTATTTAAGTCCCTCATATTCGTAATATGCATTCAACAACAATGATATTTGTTACCAGATATCTCATAGAAATACCTTTGCCAAATTTTATCGAAAACGACTAAGGTTTGGATATAGCTCCCATATATATCCTCAATCCGATTTCAGGTTTATTGTGCAAAGAATGGCTAATATCAGCCTAACTGGAGTGAATCTCCATTTTGTGGAACTCGGCTCCGTCAAATTTAGTTAAAATCGATTCAGAATTGGATATGCCTCTCATAAATTATTTCCCTATGAAACCAAACTATAACTGCTATAAAGCCAAATGTTGGTAGGTGGTATGATCTACTTCAAATAAATTCTTTTGTACGGGAGCTCTACTAAATATGCATAGTGGTGTAGGGTATCATAAAGTCGGCCCGCCCGACTTTTCACTTTTACTTACTGGTTATATATCCTCTTATGTGCGGGTATGAAAAAACATTTTTGGTCCAATTCTTCAAATTCTTCTTTAGTGGATCTTTATTTTGGTTCTTAACATCCATTTTTTTGTTTTTGAATATCATGGCTAATATCATCAACATCCCGAATATTTGGTAGTATAATGTCGTATATAGACGATATCGTGGACCGATATAGCCCATCTTGTAACTTGAAATGCTTGCCGACAAAAAGCGACTCTGTGTAAAGTCAGCTTTCAATCACAAGACGTTTGGACAGACGGACGGCTGATATATTTTGACATGTTACAAATGTCAAACTTAATCGGATTGTTGAGTATATAAAAATGATAACACATGTCCATTTTATTGATTCTTTCTTTTAAGAACGTATTCTACCCATACAGATTTCAATATACTGACTTACAGCCTTTTCGAAATATTTGAGAGCAAATAGTTTTAAGAGAACGAGTTCATCAATTCGCATAAAATTTATATCGATTTATACATGTCCATACGTCTGTGGAAATCACTCTAGCTTCCGAACGTAATAAAGTAGGTTGATAAAATTTTATTCATATGTGTGTGTTGGTCTGCGGGAATTTTGGTATTGAAAATGTGATATATATGTTCACGTTTTGCTGTAGCCCCCAAGTAAGTGTACCGACAGATTAAACACCTTTGAGTATTTTAGTTAAGTTTAGAAACTTCATTGCATAGAGCTGTCAATATAGGTATAGGTTTTAATATTGCCCCCAGCCCACATTGGACTCATTGATTCTCTGAGAAAATATATCTAATACTATCAGCTTTCCTCTTCAAACGGATACTATTTTTAGAAAAATGCCACTTGGTTTATAATTCTTAATCTCTTCCCATTTTCTCCACCACTGTGCACTGGCCATTAACAAAGTTCATTAATGACAAAATCTCTGCTCAATCAATGGCATCAACAACATCATCGTCATCGTTGTTGTTGTTGTTGTTGTTGTTGTTGTCGTCCTAACAACTTTTCTAATTGTCTACCAAAGAACATTACATTACTCTGTGCAGGTGTGTGTGTGTGCGTTGTTTGTCATACTTACTTTCAGCGTTCGCATATTCGCCGCAGTGGTTGTGGTTCGAGAGCAAACATAATTTAACACGCACCGCTGGACTCGGTTGTTTATTCTCAGCGAGAGCTAATGTCATGTCCTCAGCCCGTCCCATCGTTGTTCTGTGACCCGATACTGAGTAATGGGCTCTTTGAGTTATATGATTAATCGTGGTCTCTTTGAAGGTGGGTTCGGCGCCTGATGGCAGCAAAGAAACCGTGTCCACTATTTCCCACGTGGCCATGGGCGATTCACGGTTCACCAACGATTCGACAATTGCAATTAGAGACAAACATGTGGCGGCCACGTTAATGCCCACCACATGTGAATTGGGGTCATAGGTGACATGTAGGGGCGGCGGTATTTTGCTCACTTTTGTGGTGGCCTGCATTTCATTGGAGTAGCCGGAACTGCCTTTGGCATTCAAGGCATAAATCTTGAACATGTAACTTTGATGTTGATCGAGTGGTGCAACTTTACAGGGATTTTCCCGGAAACAATCGAACTCCATCCATTCGGGTGAACTCATGCCGCCTGTGGACGCATAGGTGTAGGCAGCATTACAGTCGGATAAGAGCTGTTCCTTGGGTGTGGGCACCCGCCTGTATGTTACCAAATACTTTGTGTTGCTCATACCTCCATTGAAGCCCGGAATCCAGCTGAGTATGACAAAGTTGTGAGAGGTTTCCAAGACTTTCAAAGATGTTGGTCTCTCCGGTGGTCCCTTGGGTTGTAGTCGTATTTGCGTCCGAATTGTATCCAGAGGATTGACGGCTCGACATGAATAGTCACCATAATCCGAATGGGAGAGATGATTTATTCTCAGAATAGAGGTGTAGATGTCATTGTTATCCACTCTGGTACTGATTTCGTAGTGACCATCTGAGGACATGGTAAGAGGCGATGGATTATTGCCGAATTGCCATTGAAATTCCGGCTTTGGGTAAGCTTGAACTTTACACTGAACCTCAGCCGATTCTCGCACATCGTAGGCGACTTTGTTGTATTGATGCAACACTATGGGTTCGTGTTCAATGCGCAAATGCATACTCGAGTTGGCGGAATTCACTTCGTTCTCATAGAGACATGTATAGAGACCACGATCGGAGGGCACCAACTGGTTGCCATTAGGTCGACCTTTTCCTCTAAATTTCAATATACTTTGAACGGTGACCACACCATTTGCTGTCTCTGTGGGGGTGGTGCGTATGTCGTACATTTTTCGACCAGGCAGCACCTCCGTTCCATCCTTGATCCATCGTATAATGGGTATGGGTTTGGCTTTGGCACTGCATGTAACCGCATAGTCAACATCGCCAACACGCCGCGTCATATGTTGCTGCAGTTTGGCAATGAATTGAGGTGGCTGATGCACTTCCAAGGTGATGGTAGCCATTTTTCCCATTCCAAGTTCATTGACGGCATGACAGTGATATTTTCCTTCACTACCCAAATGTGCCTTTGGTATTGAGTACTGAGGCCCCTGAGCCAGAATCTTCTGAGTGTTGGTAAATTCCCCGTCCATATCTCGGAACCAACGATATTGCGGCACAGGCCAACCAGGCGGACTGGCCGAACAACTGAGAGTGACACCATTACCTACGTGAACCACTGGTTTGTTGGGCGTAATGTATGCCTGTCCGGGACGATGACGCACCAATAATGCCACTGTTGAATTTCCAACACCTTCAACTCTCTTCGAACCATACGGTTGCATAAGGTTCACCGCTCTGCAGATATAATTGCCAGCATGCTCTGCTCGCACCGAAACCAACGAAAGGAGTTCCCCATTGAAACGAAAATCTGGTGCTCCCTCCTTCAGCCATTCAATAGTGACTGGTGGTGGATTCGCAGTGACATTACATCGAACCACGACTGTTTCACCTTCCTCCGCTTCGTGTGTCTTCGTTTCTATCACCACAATTGGTGGATATAGAACATCGAGGATGAGATCTTTCTCACCTGTCTTCCCTAAACCATTGTCAGCGGTACAGGTGTATTTGCCGGCATGATGACGACTAACCCGATAAATGGTATGTGTGGGAGTTGTACTAACATATTGACCATTACGGGTCCATCGTACATTTGACACCATGGGTTTGGCATCAACACGGCAATCCAGCTTGGCAACATGATCACGTTCGACGCGTAGGGGATTCTGAGGGCCAACATCTACGCGGGGATAATCTGAAAATGGAAAAAAGTAAGTGATCATTTGATTTTGATCTTTAACATTAGGAATGGAAAACATAATATCGTTTTACTGAAGAAATCGAGCTGTGACATAGCACAGGGCAGTCTATTATAAAATATAAATTTTCAAATTATTTGCCTTATTTTTGTCCGAAAATGTCAATTGAATTTTAGTTCAACGACGATTTTTTTGGGGGGGAAATAATTAACCTCTCTCTCTCTTATTTTCCTCTCCTTAATTAACAGGAGCCCATATGTAAAATAGAGTAAGAAATAATATCTAGAGTAAGAAGCTGAGGCTATGTCAACCATCGATTTTGGGAGTACTCCAATAAATGCTGATTCTGGAAGAATTGTGTAAAAATTCGATGTGATTTCCAGAATCGATATTCCAATAAAGTAACTCGTGGACTCTCGCTATGCCTAACTTCGAGTTTAAATATTATGTCTGAGATCATTTTGGAATTAATATTTACTCTCTTTGCAAAATTATATATAACTTCAGCATTTTCCATTTTTTTTTTGTCGAATTTAATTATAAAATTCCCCGATAATATTATTTCTCTTCACATCTGTCTGCATTAAATATTATGCGAAAAAATTTTCAGGCATTTGAAATGTTTGTTTATGTCTGTGTTTTGTTTTTACGTTCACACATCCTCTGCTCATTGCCCATCACCATTCTGCGCATCTGTTACCTTAAGGCACATTTTGTTTGCTTATTGTACGACAAACATGTCCTTTTTGCGCGAACACGTGCCCCTTAACTCGTGGTGCAGTATGAGACCCCAGCTAATTAGAAATTCCAACAAATATAAATAAAGTTAGGAGTTGTGTACAAAAATTAATGCAAATACCTAGCAACTATTTCCTCATAGAATGAAATATTTTCAGCTGAACTCCGTCATACCGTCAGCGTGTTTGTATATATCTGTATACGGGCAATTTCTCACATGGATACAGGGTAAGTAGAAAACTTTTAATAAACACAAATAACCTGAGGTCAGGAATACTAAAAAGCGATAGACTGTCATGTGCTGTAACACATACAAACATTGCCATCAAATAATCCGGACTTGTGGCCATTAAAATGTTTATAAGAGTGTCCCGTTGTGTGAGGTATGCGTTGAATGAGTATAATATCATTAGCTTTTATGTCAAAAAATATTGGAGTTGTCGAAAATAGTGGATTTTTTCCGAGTTTTCACTTTAAAAACCTAATGTCTTTCATTTAAAATTAATTAAAAATTAAAAAAAAAGTTATATAGAATCAGTCGGTATTGCCGACAGCTGCATATCCTCAGCCACTCTTCACAGGGGTGGTTCCGAAGGTGTGAGCCAATATTGTCAATTTCCTATCTGACATAAGTGTGATATAAATATTAAAACGTGTCCGACTTCGAATGTACCGAATTTTTCCTTTACTTTATATGAGATATTGGATAATTTTTGGAAAAGTTTGAAATAAAAAGTGTTGACTCGTCTGTGGCGCGGTACCAGTGGGTCGATATCTATTATTTTCACACCAAATCTTGTGTTGGAAGAAATATTAGGATGTGTAAAATTTGAAGAGAATCAGATGATTCTTCCGCATTTTATGAGCTTTTTTCATCTCAAATTTTGACCCTTTAGGAATTGACCGATATATCCCATCTTCACACCAGATCTTGTGTTAGTAGAAATATTGAGATATGCTCATTCCACCTTTTATGAGCTTAATGTATATTCCTAACTTTGACCCTTTGTGGTGGAGGTTCTAGAAGGAATGGTCTGTTCTATTCGTTCTTCATGCCAGATCTTATATTAGTGGAAATATTATAAGAGTTGTAATTATTAAAAATATTAAAAATTTATGTGGGAGGTACCAAAAGAAGTGGTCCGGTATATTCTGAATTTACACTAGATCTTGTGTTAATAATAATAATATTGAGATTTGTGAAATTTAAAGATATTTGGATACTTAATACGCAATTTATGATCATTTTGGTTTTTCAAAATTTTGACCCTTTGTGGGGGAAGGTACCACAAGGATATATTCCATCTTCACAACAGTTCTTGTATTCATAGCAACATTAGAATATGTCAAGTTTGAAAGGAATCGGATGGTCATTTCGTGTTTTATGAGCTTAATGTCTATTTCAAATGTTGACCCCTTGTAGCCCATCTTCACACCAGATCTTATTAGAATGTGTGTAATATAAAGACAATCGGACTATTATTTCATATTTTATAAGGGTTATAGTTATTCAAAATTATGACCCTTTGTGGGGGAGGTACTTCATGGAGTGGGCCGATATAGTCCATTTTTCGCACATGATCTAGAGCTAATGAAAATATTAAATCTTGCAAAGTTGGAGCAAAATCGGACGATTCTTTCTCTTTCGACCTTTTGTGGGGGAGGTACCAGAGGGAGTGGTCCGATATTGTCTATCTCCGAATTCGATCTAAGTTTGATAATAATATTACGATGTACAAAGTTTGGACCAAATAGGATACTCCCTTCGAGAGTTATCGGGCGCACCAGCAAGACAGACATACGGACGGACATCCCTAGATAAACTCCAAATATCCTGGAACTGATTTGGACCAAAGAGACCTATGGTCTAAAACTATTATTTCGATAAGTAATGTTTTGGCCGTATCAAAATAACAAGAATTCATCAACCACAACAATTTCCGGGTGTTACCGCTAAAACATTTTTTTTTTCAAAAAATATATGTTTTCAGGTATGCCGAATTTAGAGAGTCATATTAATTACACTGTTCGACAAAATATATATTTTTACAATTACAGGAAAAACTGAGTAGATTATGAAATTCGAAAAATGTGCAATTTACTTTGCGTTGTAAGCTATGAATTTGTCCTGTATCATCTTTTATTATATTTATTATATGTCTTGACGATAGTATTTGCCTATATTTTAGAACGCACTAATATTTTGAAATTCACATTAAAATTTCATTCTCATATACGCAATAACACTTACAACACAACATTCAATTTGGAAAAAAAATCTACTCTACTTCACTGCAGCATTGAGCAGGAAATCCAAAGGTGTTCACAATTAATTATATTAATGAAGTTGGTCATAAAATCACGGGATAACACCTCATAATAGTCACCCCCGCCCGGGGTCACAATCTAATACGAACATGGAAACACTACCGGAAGGTGGAAATTAAGTATCGCCCACTAATGTTGTTGCTCGACTGGAACATAGGCATAATTCAATTTTTTGAGGAGAGAGAAAAAAGAAAACAGGGACGAAACAAGAACGGAGGGGGAAATGTACAGGAAACATGTTTGCAAAAACCCATGGGTAATAAAAATATTAGCTTTGACAACAACGATGGCAACATTATTGGTGACATGACTATGGCTTTTACTGGACCGGACCGGACATTAGAGTGTAAAATAGGACGATAATATCGACAATGTTAGTAAATTAATTAAACAACGTTAACGACACTGACAACGGAAGCAGCCGAAGATTAGTTGTAAATTTCTAAATGTTCGACATCAGGAATGTGTGGTCGGTCGGTAGCCTCATTCGCGTTGTTTGACATTAGATACCTGTAAATGTTTTTTTTTTTTGTGGCTGGATTCGTTGGAAATGTTGGATGTCGACTTTGCTGCTTTGGTGTTTTTGCAAGTCTCCAATAGCCACATAATACCGATTCGGTGAGGGGGGATGTACAATTTATTGTGAAGTACCATTTTAGCTTGCGGCTGTTGGCATTATGAAGTTGTTGTTTTTTTTTACTCTGCGGACAGCGTCAAATTGGAATGTTATTTTTATTTCTCTGTAAATGCTTTGCCATAAAAAATATTCATGTTGCTGATCCGGTATACGGGAAATTTCAGTTTTCTTTCACAATTCCAATTAAAAAAATAGAAACAAAAGTTGTGGCACACGTTTTTGGTATAAAGTTTAAGAAAAAATGTCGGTTTAAAATTTACTTGTTTTGTTGTTGCAAAATGGGCAGGCCTAATCCCTTTATTGTTGTTTTTATAAAAATAACGTTTGTTTATTAGTGGAGAACGATGGTAATGCAGGGAATACCTAGGTTTCGGAAAGAGCCACCAATCCTCATCAGTTCCCTTGTTTTTTGTCTGGGATATTCTCCCCAGAAGTTATTTTAAAACCAGTAAAGAAAGTCCTAAAGTCGGGCGGGGCCGATTTTATGATACCCTACACCACTTTGTTAATTTAGTTGAGCTCCACTTAATAATTAGAAGTTTTTATGGGAGAATTTAATCATACACGCTATGATTATAATTATAATTTAAATTTTAAAGGACTAAATATGCCAAAGCATTTGTATCTTTTAAATTCGGACTTGTATTGCCCATTTGGTGCACAATTAATTTGAAATCAGATAAAGATATATATGGGAACTATATCCAAATCTGAACCGATCTCGATAAAATTTGGCAAAGATATTTCTGAGCTGTATTTGATATATTTCCCTGAATATCGTTGTTACGGAGTGCATATTACGGCTGTAGGTAACAAATACAACAAATCGGATGAACAATATATATGGGAGCTACAGCTATATCTGAACCGATCTTCACCAAATTTGGCATACTACCTTCAATTCGGTCGTATGTGCCAAATTCCATCCCATTTGGGCAAATATTACACGTTTGGTGCACAATAAAAGGTAAATCGGACGAAGTTATATATGGGAGCTATATCCAAATCTGAACCGAACTCGATAAAATTTAGCAAAGGTATTTCTGAGCTGCATTTGATATATTTCCCCAAATATTGTTGTTTCAGAGTGCATATTACGGCTGCGGAGGACAAAAATAACAAATCGGATGAACAATATATATGGGAGCTATAGCTATATCTGAACCGATTTCGATAAAATTTGGCACACATATTTTCAGGCCTAATTTGGTTGTATGTGCAAAATTCCATACTATTCGGGCTGATATTACACGTTTGGTGCACAATATAAGGCAAATCGGACGAAGA